TTTTTTAAATCTGCCTGTCTTCTACTTTATTCTTTCCCAATTGTTCTTTTAGCTGATTATTCAGTCTCTGATACTAAGCAATACTGGAGGAGGGTATTAAATAGTAAATAAAGCTTGATGACTGTCGTAGAACAAAATTAGTGCCATTGAAAAATATTCAGAGCTCAGTTACAGGAGGAAAAAGATTTAAGGAAGTCCTGACCTGATGAACTGACTTGCTTTTTAATTGGTTTGTGTTGATCTAAAAAAACCCACACAAAAAACCCACACACACAACCTCACCCACCCAAAACAAAAAACCCACACCCTGTAATATTGTGTTTATAATTTGATTTGTAATACAAAATAATTGCATGAAAAAATGCTATGGTCTGTTGAAAACTTTTCTCTGAGCTGTCTGTTTCTATACAGCTAATTAAGTAATATACTTCAAAAGGACACGCTGAATGACTTGATGAACTCTTGCATGTCATGGCTTATTGCTTTTGTGCTAAAAGTGGGACTTGTGCCAGGAAGAGCTGATATCCTGCAGCTGATTTACAGTATCCTTTACTTTTAGAGCAACTTAATCTTGCCATTACGTGATTCTGCCACTGTCTTTTATTCATAATATTTTGTGATCACGTAACATACCTGAGAGTATGTAGCACTCCTGCATTCCTTGAAGAATTTTATGGCCTTTATGGCAGGTGATAACTCTGTGTTCTCCAGGTGCAGAATGCAGGGAACAAGCTGGGTAGACGCTGTGATATGTGCTCGAATTATGAGAAGCAGTTGCAAGGTATCCAGATTCAGGAGGCTGAGACAAGAGACCAGGTGGGATTTCTCTTCAAGCTTTAGCAAGACTTTTGCAGTTGTTCTAAGGTTGCAACGGTGAACCATCTGCTGTTTTATTCATTGGTTTTAATTGAATAATGTCAGCATACTTAAAATCTGGATAACTTCTGACATTTTATTGACATAACCTGATTTGTTACTGTTATGTGGTCGTGAGCACCACGGGTACCTATTTCTTAAGGATTCACCTTGGAGAACCGCTTTATCCGGTGCTGTAAGACCATGCAGTAAAGGCACTATTCTATAAAAAGTGTTGTGCTCATGCTGAAGTCAGTATCTTTCATAATTTATATTCTAAAATGCTTTTGATGCATTAAATTCTATTATCTTCGATACTGCAAGAATTGTTAACAGCAAAGGAAAAATTAGAGGACCTCTTCCTAGCAGCATAAAATGACTGTAAAGTATTGGAGGATGTTTGTTTCCTGCCATATACTGAAGAACAATTTTCAGATGGGTACAGAAGGCATATGAGTCGCATTCTGCTTTGAAATAAGTGGTTGAAGTCATTACATGGCGATGGTCCAGTGCAGTTTGATGTCCCATGTTTCCGTATAGGTGTAATCTGTGATGCAGGGTGTTTCAGAACAACGACAAAGGAACTTCTGGGTTGCACAGGGTTTTGAGGGATTTTGTTTTGTGGTTTGGGGGTGTGATGGGGTGGGTTATATTTGTGTTCAGGAAATAAATACTCCCCTAAAGAATGGAAAATTAAATTATTTTGTTGTAACAACACAGGTGAAAAAGCTGCAGGTGATGCTGCGGCAGGCTAATGACCAGCTGGAAAAGACAATGAAAGATAAACAGGAATTGGAGGATTACATGAAACAAAGTGCTGAGGACTCCTCTAATCAGGTACAAGCATTTTGTAATCAAGATGGTAGGAATTGTGACATGTTATTCAAAAGTATGTAATAAGAACTCTTGTCTTCTGTTAGATATGGATGGACTACCTGCTGTAGAGGCAACAAAAATGAGAATTTCTAGGGTTAGTTATGCTCTATCTGAGTCTGCCACAGTTTCTAATGTCTCTAATATCATGTTATCCAATTTTGGCCCTAAAGTTTCATTTCTAATCTTGAAATCCGTTACAGAGGTGATAATCGGAATTTGAGTAGTGTTTGAGTTTTGAAGTGACCTGTGTATGAAATCACCCAAACATGCAAAAGTAGCCCTGTGCTCTTGGTCACTGTCCTTGTCAGTAGAAGAGTGGTACTATTCATACCACTCGCTCTCATCAATACTTGACACCCACTTAATGGGCTTGTGGTGAAGAGTTAATGAGCATCTGAGCAGGCAGTAACAGTAGTTGGTCCAAAATATGCACTAGACTTCTTTAAAACAATAGGCTGCTGTAAAGTTTTTTTTCAGTCTGAGATGTGTAAATAACTCTCCCGGAACAACAGAGCCAAATAGGATGAAAAAAAAAAAGTCATCACCTTTGGCCTGTTAAAGATTACAATATGAAGTAAATGCTGTGTACAAGACATTGAATTTACTTCACTTGAGCTGGAAGACTTTGTCTCTTAGTATTTTTTTCTTACTAAAGAAACAGTAGTCATTAGACAAAGTCTGTTGTAGATGACAGGAATATGTTTATACATTCTTTCTTTTGGCTGTATCAGGGTGCTCTTAAGTAATGCTTAATCTAACTGTTAAGCATGTGGTGTTGTAGAATAACTTAATTGTAAAGTTTTTGAAGATCCATGCTTTCGGAGAAAGGTACAAAAAATTACTTTACCTGAAAGAAAATGCTGAAAACTTAGGTAGTAGCTCTGCAGTTTCCTTTCAGTGTCTCTGAAGTGGCTTACATTCAAGTTTGATTAGAATTAACTGTTTATTCATTGTTTAGAGTATGGTAAATAGAATGTAAGTATATTATTGGTATAGAAGCACGGCATCTCTCCTTACTGACTTGAGCTGCATTACTGCTTTACTGAGTAAGGAATTAACAAAGTAAACTTTAGTGGATTAATTTGAAATTTCAAAATATATGTTAGTAATGGTAACAGGCAAGACAACTTCAGTGGTTATTTCTTCTTCAAAATCTGTTTCATGCTTTATATCTTTGTGTGGGTTTGCTTTTTTTAAGATCTCTTTGCTTATGGCTAAATGTCAAAAGTCGGAGAACTTCCTCAGTGAACTGCAGCAGGCATTTTCGCAAGCAAAGAGAAGTGTCCAGGAGCAAATGGTAAGACAGCTTAAGCCCAGAGATCACTTGTACAGCACTGTTTGTCTAACCTTTGGAGCTCAATGTGTTTGTCAAAGGCTTTGTCTTGCTGCCTCACTGAGCTTGGCTAGAGAGAGCTGTGCATCTTAACATGTAACTCGCCAAATGAGCTCTGACAGCAAGTGCTGGACCTGTAACAGTTTGTAGGGTCAGCCTGTCATACTTTCCGTGTGTATGCATATTGATTAATATGGAGATCACTAGTCAACTTTTTTCCCCGCTTATTCATTATGTACATTCCATGCCCATTTAGTATCTTATTTTACCTCAGATCTGAAGACAGAATAGATTTTCTCAAGACAAATTTTTAGGATTCATCACAAGTACCATCACTAGTGAGTACTTTCTTGAGTTTTAGAGATGAATGCTCAATGTTTTTACAGGTCAGACTTAAAATATCAGCCCTAACACCCAGGAAGAGATATGTATGAGAACTTTTTTTTTTTTAAACTATTTTGAGCATCTTGTAGGATTTAAGCCAGAGAACAGGAATAGGACCTCATTTTCTAGGGCAGAACAAAGTCTAACTTCCTTAGAGCAATTCATTCCCTTCTACATTAGAGTCAAGTTTCTTCTTTTTTCCTCCCTTGCACAGCATTGTGGGGACTAAGAGCATTCATTCTCGTGAATCCCAGTATTACATTTCTAGGGTCTGGGGTTGTCTGTAGGACATCAGGACGTTGCTTGCAGAAATGTTCCGTTTGATGTTCTGCGTGAGAGCACGCCTAATGGAGACGCAGGAGATTCAGAAAATGTATTGATCTGAATATCCTTTTCATGCTGCCCACCTATAATACAAAGGGCAGCCTCTGTCAGAGTTCAAGTCCCTGTTTCCCTATACCAAAGCAATCATTCCTCTCAGAAAAGTTCGCTGGATTTTTTTCTTTTGTAATGCAAGCAAAACTATGCTTTCTTAATACTTTTTCTTCACAAGGGATCAGCTGTTTTGATCTTTTCCTGAAAAGACAGTGGGAGGCAGATGCCTACCATTGAAAGTTTCAGGATGAATGTTTAAGGTTTTTGAATAACCTGATCTTACAGCTGAGTTGTTAGGTGATTTTAATAAACATCACTGCCAGTTCTCGAAACCACATGTGACTTCCCCCCCACCCCCTCTCCATCAGCACAGCTAGCTAATGGATAAATTTCTTCTGTATGAAGAAAACTGGGAGACTTAACAATGCTGTATTCATCACTTGCATCCTCCTATCTGCCTGTACAGTTAAGATTGATCTTGCCTTTATTTCCGGTGCATAGGCCAGGCAAGAGAGAACTGATTGTGTTGATCCACACAAACATTTTGTTTCCCTTCTTTACAAAGAATATCAATTCACCAGACCTTTGAAAGCAGTGATAGTAAATGGGGCATGAAGAGATCTGAGCATGACCCTGAGTGAGCGTTTATGCTTTTCTTTACATTGGAGGCTGTCCTGACACAGTCAAGGGAGCAGGTTTCAGAAGAGTTGGTGAGACTGCAAAAAGATAATGAAAGTCTTCAAGGAAAACACAGCTTGCATGTGTCTTTACAGCAAGCTGAAGACTTCATTCTACCAGAAGCAGCAGAGGTAAAACATTTTTAAATCATTAACACAAATAATGCATGTGACTAGATCTCGCTGGAAGAATCTTCTTTATCAGAAAGCTGACTCAAATAGCACAATGCACAATAATCTGGATTTTAACCCTGTAAGTCTGTGATGTACAAAATCAGCAGTCTGATCCCACTGTGCCATAAGCATGCTTCAGGGTATGGATAGATAATAACAAAATGAGTTAACTATGGCCTGGCAACTGCTCTGTTGTCAGTAGAGTGTGGGCTTATCCCAGTTCAGCTAGTTTAAGCTGTATTTTGCAACTGGGCACACAAATGTTCAGTCACCATGGCTCCAATGTAGGTATCGATTCAATAAATCAAGCTTAGTCAGTCACTTTAATTTCTCTCCAGGCGTTAAGACCAGTATAATCCTGAGCCTTGTCATCCTTTTCATGGCCACTCCCTTACTCTCAAGCATGTCAAGCTTAAAAGATTGTGGGGGGTGAAGGGCAGGGGGAGAGGGTCATAAGCCTGTGGAGACGTGAATCTTTACACGTTTCCTATGGCCAAGCAAACTGCGATTTTGTTTTAATACCTTGCTGGATGCAGGACCTGGTATGGTGGGACAAACTTTGGGGTAGCATAACTTTGTCTTTGGCTTGTATGCTGATAAATACAGTACTGTGTGTATCTGAAGATCATAATACAAATCTTTTTGCTGATCATTGATTCAGGAGCTCCGTGAGCTGATTTTAAAATATCGTGAAGACATAATTAGCGTGCGGACAGCAGCAGATCACCTTGAGGAGAAACTTAAGGCTGAGATTTTATTCTTAAAAGAACAGATTCAAGCTGAACAATATTTGAAAGAAAATATAGAAGAAACTCTACAGCTGGAAATAGAGAATTGCAAAGAGGAAATAGGTGAGCAGGGGTAAAACAGTCTCAAAATAGTAATATTAGAAATTAGTAAAATAAGTGAAGACTGGATTTTGTGATAAGTAGACTTATCTGAATTTTAAATACTGTCCATTTTTGATAGCAGATACACCAAAGCTGTGCAGCTGAAAACAAAAGCACAATTATTTGTTTACCTTTGAGGTGCCTTTAATGTAGCACGTGCTTAATTCTCCTTTAAATATTAACAGAAGTAAACAGGGTATGTCCAGTTTCCTGTGTTTTTCTTGCGTTTAAGCTTTAATATTCTTGTTTTTCAGCTTCCATTTCCAGTTTAAAAGCTGAACTGGAAAGAATAAAAGTGGAAAAGGAACAGGTAAGGAGCCCTTTCACTGTGGGATTTTTGGTTTTGTTTTTTTTTAAACAAAGATAATTGGATTATTTTTTTTCTGCTAGTTCTATCAGTGACACTGTGTTGCTGTCTTTGACATCAACCTCTTCATATCAGAGAAGATGAACTACTTTTCCTATCTGCCTTTGAGGTGTCAGTAACACTTTAGATATATTCTTGTATGATGTTTAGTATGCCCAGTATTGGGAGGGAAAGAGAGCTGAACTAAGGAGAGAATTCTGAAACATGTAACATTATTGTTCCTTCATCTCAACGTGCTTGTGGGATGCTGGAGGGCTGGGTTATTTGTGTAGATAACCTTTCCTTTCTGTAAGAACGAACTCCAGCCTATGCATTTGCACAAATTTTCTTGCTGAAGGCACCGACACTAAACTGGATACTCTCCGTCTATTGCAACTCTTGATATCAAGAATGTAGATGCACCTGTGTGGTAACTGCACCTGTGTGGCTTCTGTGACCATTTCAGAGGGAACACAGAAGGTCATGCCCGGAACTTTGAAGGACAGAATAGCTGTATTGATGCCAGTGTAGGACTGGGACATGTTCATAGTTCTGTTCCTTAAAAGGTGTTTTGTCTGTTTATTAAGCTGTAACCTAAATATTGGATTAACTAATTCCTAACTAATATTAGGCTACCTGATAATAACCTAAATGTCAGGTTTGGCCGTTTCTCTCCAGCTCCGAAATGAAATAAATGGAGAGAAAGAGATGTTATTTAGGTGTTTTCTGTGTCCCTAGGAGAGATTATTATAGAGGAGGTGTATTTCTGAGTCCTGGGAAAGACACTTAGGCTATGCTGGCTGTATGGAGAGACTGTGAGAAGTTGAAATGCTAGGAATTTTAGTTAATACTTCTTTTATTATTATAATATAGTTGGAAAGTTCTTCTCAGGAAAACCTGCAGCAGCTGGAGAGTCTGCAGGAAACAAAAAACACTCTAGAAGAACAGTTGAAGAAGGAGACAGCAGCAAAGGTAGCTATGATGTCTGGGTATGAAGTATATATGCATCTTCTATGATGATCAAACTGTCAGAAGATGTATCACTACACGAGAATGAAAAAGAAAGCTTTTGAATGGTGATAAGATTCTGGCAGTGAAATAGTGTCTGTTGGATGCTGTTTAAATCCTCATCCCAATCACTTTGCACTTGGATTTGTAAGGCAGTGGATTTGAATTGCTGCTGACTTGAGTATCTCTTTTGGGTTGTCTTCCAAAGTTAGGCTTCAATAACATTTCTGCATATAGAAAGCTTCCTGACTAACCAAACCTTGGTTTGAATGCTTTGATACTTCTGAATAAATGTTGTTTTGTTGTTACTGTAAGAAGGAGCCCTACTTTGGCAGTCAGATTAATTAATTGTGATCTGATTTCTCTCTTCCCCCCCCCCGCCCCCCCCCCAAAGACTTTTCTGAATAAAACTCAAGACAGCAAGATAGTTATCTTTTCACCAGCAGATTACTGCCCTTCATCTATGCTCGTGTTCCATTAAAACTCAGAAATCTGCTTTTTTATTTTGAGATCCTTGGACATAGTGCTGTTAAAAGACATGGGGCCTTTTCATGCTTTAACCAATCTAATGAGGATCTTTGTCTGATGGGTCTTACCCGCTGATTTTGCAATTAGGAAAATCGAGGTGTAGGAAGAGCGATTGGTTTAATTTCCTGCCAGGACTCTGAGAATAATCATGCTGCTTTGCTCTAGTACTGTGCTTTAACCAGTTTATATAAGCTTCTCCTTTTTTATTCAGTTTAAGCATAGCATAAAGAATCTCTTTCTCTTCAGGCAAACCTTGAACAGCTGGTATTTGAAGAGAAGAATAAAGCTCAGCGGTTGCAGACTGAATTAGATGTCAGTGAGCAAGTGCAGAGAGATTTTGTAAAGCTTTCTCAGACGCTTCAGGTAAGGGAAGTGCAATCAGTTTGTAAGGTGCTACTTTTGTTTCTTTACTTCTCCAGAGCTGTGTAAAATAAGAAGTAGCAGTTGTAAATTTTCTTATGTTGGTATTTAGGAACTATTTTAAAAGTTCTTAGTATAATAAACTGATCAAGTATTCCTAGTATAATATTAGTATTAAAGCCTATTGGGGATTTTATTCTGATTACTTGATTCCAACCGATTCTCAGCAGCAAAGATAGACAACTATTGTACTAAAAAGAACTGTAGAGAGCCGTAAATGATGGCACCTTTAGACCCTAGCATTTCACTGTCCATCGCCTGATGTTTTTCCAGTACTTTTCATAGCAAATCATTAGGGTGCAAATATTTGAGGACAAAGTAAGGAACTTGTACTGTTTGAAGAACCATTTCATATATTCATATCATGTTATATTTACTGCTTTCTATTTATACTATCTAAGAGTCTTATCCTTGCTATTGTCACTGTTGCTATCCTTGTATTTCCTCCAAAGAGTAGAACCTGTGGTTGGCGATGAGATACCGAGAGGTGGCTGAAGGAAGGAGTTTTGGCAGGGGTGTTCATCAAGGCTAATTCTAGTTTGTCAGGCTGATCTCTCTGTCTTTCTGTTAACTGTAGAGAGCGTGAAGGGACCTGCAGTTTTTGTGTTTGCAGGGTGGCTGGCTGTCTAGATTGGGCTAGATTGGTCTCACCTTCAGTGTCCGTGTTTTTAGAATTTGTACCCCCCCTCACATTCCAGCTTACTAGAAATCTTGCTCACAAAGGAGGTACTGAATTTCAGCACTGTCTCCTTTGAGTTCTTAGCCAGTCTGCTTGGTGAAATTCAGCAGAATTAAAAATACAAATTTTTTGAGTCAAGTGTTCAGGTTTATTTGGAAAACTAAACCAGGAGTATAGGAGACTTGCCTAGACAGAGTTTAGCTGGATGGACAATAGTGAACTGTCCTCTTTTGTTCTGGCTGTTTCTGGAGGAGTAGGTAGGACAAAGGAGACTATTGAATTGTCCTGGCTAGTGAAGTTGCTTCTTGCTTGTCATCATCCTCTTTTTTTTTTTTTTAAGTACTGCATGCACTGGTTTATGCAGTTCTTAGAGCAAAAACATACACCCCACTTGGAAGATGTGTGGCACACTCTTCCAAAACTTGCAGGTAGGCCTTCAGTACTGAGCTTGGTAAGAGTGTTGTAGCTCTGTATTTTGTGTTTTCTTTCTGCCCCTAAGCGGTTCTTACACGTTAGTTTCTCAGCAGTTAGTGCTTTCAGTTTAAACAGTGGTTTGTGCCATCTCCACTGTGCATAGTACAAGATCTGCTGCGTAACACGAGAAGATTACCATCGAATGAGGATTTTGGTTTCTTGACAGTCAGACAGGGTTATGTCCTTCCCTGACCTTGTCAGTGGAGAGCCTGGGCGAGTATGACTCACTCACTGTTGCGTGAGGTGTCCACTGGCCAAGCTAGGTATCGGCAATGGAGAGGAAGGGCTAAAAATCAATTAACCACTAGTTGGGAATTTACAACTGAAAGCCCAGATCCTAATACAAAGAACGTGAAAGTCTGAATGTAAAAAAATAAATAAATAAAATAAATAAAATAAAGGTGATCTCTTCGCGTTCATTTCAACACAGTTCTGCCGGGCACTTTTTCAGTATATAAGAAATAGCTTAAGATAGATTATCAGAAAAGCGAGTAACAGGAGTGAGCTTGGAAATGGGACATTTCCTCCAAGAGCATTTTAGCTTTGATCTTGGGAGGCTTGAAGGCATATGTTAGGCAGGTCTCTACTTCCTTACAGTCTTTCTGTGAAAGTTTACATTGCTTTGCTCATCTCTTCCAGTTTGCCTGGCCAGTATGATGTCAGTGACTGTTAGGCAAAACATAGAGTGACGATGAAGGCTTACTTGAACCCTGCAGAAAGTGGCTTTTTATTTTAAAAACACAACTGCCTTATGTCTTCCTTCCCCCGCCATTCTTGGTTCTAAATTAAGCTTGTGCCCCTTCACACCTTGCCTTTTTCAGCCAATGATAATTTGGTATCTCTTCTGCTTGCACAGGTACTAGGGGTTGCTAACGTGGCCTGTTGGCTCAGTTCTGGTTGTGGGTCTATGGTCTTGCACCAGCACGTTTTACTAGCTCAACTGCGTCTGTTGGTTTTCTGTAGGTGCAGCTGGAGCGGATCCGGCAGGCAGATTCCCTGGAGAGAATCCGTGCAATCCTGAATGACACAAAACTGACGGACATTAATCAGCTTCCTGAAACATGACACCCTGATGAGCGGGCTCCAAGGCTGCATTTGGGGTTTTTAACTCATCTTTATAGCAACATTAATTATTATTTAATTCTAACTGAAAGAGCAGAAGACAACAGAGGGGAGCAATGACTAAGTTTTGTTTCTAGAGGGGAAAAAGGTTTCGTATTGGGCAGGAAGAGAGCACAAGGGTGACTTGCAGTGTAGGAAGGAGAACTTTCTAATGGAAACACTAATGAGTGCGGTGTTTCATGTTCCACTGAGTGGGATCAGTCCTTACATTCTGAAAAACTTCCCCTCTTTCAGCCGACTTCGTAACCTAATATAGAGTTTTGGAACATTTACCCCCTGTCCTTCCCTCTTTCCTTTCCCCCCACTACTGTGATCAAAGTAGCTGCTGGAAACCATATTGTCCCTCCAAAACATTGAAGAGCAAAGTGGTTGAAGTTTTTCTGTTTGAATAGTCAGTAACAGTATTCAGCTAGCAGAGAGAATGAGGTGTAGAGTATGCTGTATGAATATTTTATATTAAAATATGACTTTATTAGCAGGACACTGGATATTGATCTTATTTCATAACTCAGTACTTTTTTTTTTTTTTTTTTTTTTTTTTACACCATTGACTTTGTGTTGAAGAATCTGAATGCTGCTGAAATGTGGTGGACATGAGTGAGCTGTGTGTTTCCTGAACAGATAAATGCTAATCCAAAAAAAAAATGAAAAACGTACTGAGAATTTAGCTCCTTGAAATTTTTCCGTTGAATTCTGATACTTAAGGAAAAGCACAAAGAAATGCACTGTTTTGTAATCTCTTTTCACAAATGTAATTTAGAATATGGAACTACAACTGGTTCTTTCTCATCTCTAAAGCTGAGCAGTACCTGTAATCCCTTCTCTGTAAAAAAAAAACAAACCAACAACCCAACAACAAAAAAAACCCAACCAAACCAACCAACCAAAAAAACCTAGTATAAATCCTATGCGTTGTCTGAGCATTGGCATGGGGTTTATGCAGGTCTGCTTTGCTCCGGTGGATGGCACCAGAGGTAAAGTTACTAGCTTTCACTGGAAAGTGTCAAGGTAAGGTGCTGAATGAAGCAGTCAGCTTGACCCACCTCTTCTGGGTCAGCGTACTAGTATGGAAAACAGTGATTGCACTCTCAATCACAGAGCACAAATGCGCTGGAGCTGCATTATTCTGCTGGTTCAAGTTTGAAAGGTACAGTGCATCTCTTACTTTAAAGTATGGTATCATGGTATTGCTCAGAGTTGACTCCTACGCTGTCCCATATTTCTGTAACTGTGCATTTAAGTTACACTATGTAACGTGTCAGCAGAGGCAAGAAATTCTTGTCATCAATCAGGTGCTAGGTTTGAGTTTCTTGTTCTATAAATGTATGGCGGTAACATGACCGTTCCTCCTCCTTTTTCTCCTTTTGTTGGAGTTTCACGCACGCAGGTGGATAGCAAGGGTTTCATGTACGGTTGCAGGGGTTGATAATACTGGTGGTGCAAATTGAGTTCTTGAACTGGCCCCTACTTACAACTCAATTAAAAGAAAGGAGGCTGAAGGAGCAGATCATTACTGTCCAAAATTTATAACTTAGACTTTCCTCCATTGCTTATTGGTTTTTCTTTACGTACTTGACCATAGATCTGAAGGTGATGAAGAAAACCAGAAGTGACAGAAAATGCTCCAAACTGTAATGCACATGACTACATTTTAAGTGCTTAAATCCTATTTTTAGCAGTCTATATCCTGCTACTAACATAAAGTTAGAACCGGTGGTTTTGAAGAGGAATGCCTTAAAAACAGCCAAAAAGAAGCATACAAGCTCAATTCCTTGTCACTCATTGCAAGAATTCACCCTAGCAATTAATTCCTTTCATAATCCTGACACCCAAAAGCCATTTTTCCTACCTTAGTAATGACTAGACTAATAGATGGCAGAGTTTTCATCTTTCAGATGACACTTAATTTCACTTAAAAGTGAAATTGCAGTGTGGCTTAGGTTCTTTATTAATTGGCTATTACCAGATTTGGGGGTTTTTAACCTTTTTTACTATTTGCTGAACTGTGAGGTGACAGCAGCTGCCTCCTGATGCATAAATCCAATACCAGATGTTTTGCATCCAGTTTTCCAATGGTTAGGGTCCTATTCTGTTGAATAAACTTTTTGGAGAAAAAAAAAATAGGCCTTTAATAGGAGCTGCAGAATGAAAAGCTTTTTCCTATGTTCCCTTCCTTCCCAAAAAGTAACTCTTAGCTGGTTACTGATACGTAACCTGTGCAGCAGTGTTTAAGGAAGCCTGTTGTTGTATGGCAAAACTACAACAAATCCTGTACATCTCTTCAGCAAGCTGAACACGTGAGGAAATGCACCTAAGGACCTATGCAGAAAAAGAATTTTTGGTTGAGTTTCTGGACTGTCCTCCTAGCGCGAGAGAGCGAGGAAAGCAGCTGTTAACGGCCTTTCAGCATCCCTTTCTGGTCCCTGTGTCAGTGCCCGTTCTCAGCAGCCCTACCTTCCCGTCTCCTCTAAACAACCGCGGCTGTAGCTGACCATTTTCGATTGTTTCAAATAGTACAGGGCTGGTGTGGCTTTTCCTTAGTGTATTTTTACAAGTTGTTGACACGGCTTTGTATAGGTGTGGTGTTGTCAGATTGCAGATGATGGCTGCAGGGTGCCTTTCTGCAGTCCATAAGGGAAGGCAGGTGAGTGGGCAATCGGTTTGTGATCGTTAGATAGACAGGGTAGCAAACGTAACAGTTGCAGAATGGAGTTTTGCATGTGTGTGTGTGTGTTCGTATGCATGCTTGTGTATTTTTCTCAGTGGACAGCGATGGCATGTTGGGTCTAGTTAGAGGAGGCTGGAGGCATACGCGGTAGGGCATGAGCGGGACCGAGATGAGAACTCACCTGAAAGGGCTGGTGCTGACTACTGTCTTCCTTGCTTTTAAACCAGGCACCGCGCGAGTCGGTGAAGGAACTTCCTTTTGGTTTGGAGAGGAAGGGCGTACGATTACTGTATGGTTGTTTTCCTTTTTGCCACCTTATTCCATCATGCACCCCAACACCTTTACGCCTGTTGATAAGTACTAGCTGTGACCATTTCAGAGTTAAAACATGAGTGACCTTTTTCTACCAACCAGTGCAAATTTCTTTTTTAAATTAGACACCTGACTGTTCACAGAAGTGGTGGGAGATGTGCTCGCTACAAACAGCTGTCCTGCTAACCCAGAGCGGCTGTCCCTCCTGGGGAGGGAAAGCACAGCTTCAGAAGTAGTTAACTCAACTCAAGCTTCTGCTGAACTCAAACTTAAGAAACTTAAAGGGCCCTTTAAAAACAAAACAAAACAGCGTGTGCCAAATTTGCAGAGCAAATTTAAAAGACTGTAAATTAAGTGTAGTAGAAGCTCTTGTTAGAGATATTCACTGGATGGATTATGGTGGTACCGCTCATAAAACATCAGAAAACAAATGCTCTTCCCTCCAGTTCTTGGTGTGCTGGAGCTTGATTTGTGTCAGGTGGTAGGTTCTCCTTGCTTAGTAAGCTTCTTAACAGGCACTACTTCTAACCGGACAGGTCAGCTAGGATACAGAGGGTGAGTGGATTAGAAAACGGGATTCTGTTCATGTAGGCTGTAAAAGGGACGAGATCAAGTTTTGTATGCATTCCTATACTTGTATAGTCTTAATCTGTACAAAAAGAAGTGTTCTTGCAGCATGTCTGGTAACCTTGTTACCTAACAGGTAATAACAGCCCTCCTTCCCTTACAGCTTTACTTTGGCACCTCTTACTGTGCCACTTTTGTAGCAGTGCAGTACTACTTTTCAAAACTGAGCTTGACCAGGTCACCTTTTCTAAGGGGTGGGGGGAGGGGACAAGTGTTATTTATTGTCTGCTGAAGTTTGTCTACAGCAGATAAATAATTGGCCTTTTAATGTCAAGACGGACTCCAGAGCCATCTTTTGATAAAGGCAAACTGAGTGTTTGGAAGTTAATACTGCATTCCAGTGAACCAAGCCATTGGTGTCCCGTGCAATTGTGGATGTAGAATTCTGCTGTCTACAGGATTCAAGTGTAACCATTTGTTAACTGTACTGAAGGTGTGTCCTTTATGAAGAAAGTGTTTCAAATTAAAAAAGAGAAAAAGCTGCTGAAGTGTGTGCGCTTCTCTGGTCTTTCTACTCTGCCTTCTTGCCACAGGCCTCCCCCGCAGTAACCATGCCGCGGACCAAGGGTAGAAGTCGCCTCCCAGAGTAACCCCAGGCAGTTTTCTGAAGGAAGTAGCAAAACCTTCCCCCACTACTGAGCTAGCTGTAAGTATTACGCTAGAACACACTTACGGTTTAAAACACCCGCTGCACGGTCTCCTTCCCAGCAGAAAAGCAAAAAAACCCACACCATGTAAAGAGTCTTATCAAAAGTACTTTATTTCACAGTCCATCTTTACAAAATAGTAAGTAAAAGGCATATTGTTCAACATACAAATGTTAAATATACAAGGGGAAATACCAGGGAAAATTAAAGCTCATCCAGCCTTTTGGTGTGGGTTCCTCGTCGTGGACATGTTAGAAGTTCACGTGGCTTCTGATGTCATTGATCTGTTTTACCATTTCCCGTATGTGTTCTCCCCTTCAAGAAAAACAAATTCAAAGTCAAAAGCCTGCAAGTCATTTTTGCTTGAGACTAATCAGGAAGGAAAATCCTTCATATGGTAGAAGCAGAGGATGGGAGCACGGTTGCAAGTCATTTTGTTACTGACAGGCTGGATACAGACTGCCAAAAGATCCTTGGGCAAAAAGGAGACTTAAACTAAATCTGCTTTAATAGTAGCATGAGATGGCCGGTGCTGCTGTCACAAGCTGGCACGCTTTATGCTTCAGACCATCTCAACGAGCTCCAGCTGGTGCATCAGTCAGCCCCTCATGCAGCACAGAGGTTAAATCGTACCCTAGAAACGTGAACAGAATCGCTTATCTAAATGCCAGGGCTTGAATTCTACAGGAGGATCCAAGCTTTAACTTACTCTTCTTTCAGGACGGCTTGGATGCACTTGCTCTGGTAGGCACTGAGGGTGATGCTGGGTTTTCGGGGGCTGGTACCCTTTTCCATCTTTTTCTGCTGGTATTCCTTTTTCATTTTAACCTAGAAGTCATGTACAAAAAGACGACCCCAGTCAGCGTTGGTACTGCCTGCCAGAGCGAACGCTTGTTATAGTTACAAACTGGTGCGTCACGCTGCGATACATTCCAATTCTTTTTGGGTTAAGATCTGCTTGCTTTCGCAGACTTCCTCCCACGAAGAGAAGAGAAAGCTAGCGCTAAGACTGAGGAAGGTGTGTAGACTTTCTTAGGGTTCATACTGAGCTGCAGAGGTTCTGTCTATATGACTAACCAGGACCAGAAGATATTTTAGTATGTTGTTGCTAATTTAACAAAAGTTCGAAGTTGCTCTGTTGGAAGGACAGTATTTTATCGGCACTGTCATTAGGTGTGAGTGAGATGTTGTCAGTAACCTACCAGCCAGATAATTCCTTCTCTCACCTGTCTGATAGCATTGCTCAAGTGCTGCAGCTGGTCATGTATTGTCTGCAATTCTTTCTTCATATCTTTTTCACTGTCCGATAGAACAGGAAGCTGAGAGTGGAAACTCCGAAGTACTTTCTTCATCCTTCATGTACAAAGCAAGAAATGTTGCTGAATTAACTCATCGACTAGACCAGTTATGCCAAGACACCAACAGTCTTGCACTTCTGTCACTCTTCCTAAGTCTTAGGGGCTCAAGACTTTACTCCCCTCTTTCCGCTGGTCTCACACAGTATTTCCGAACAGCAAGCTGACTCAGCCTGGACCTGAAGTAGTACTGACAAACCGCCACTGAGCCCCAACAAAGAGAATTTCAGAAGCCCGGTCTTCTAACAAACCAGGGTGGCGCTTCCTGCCCACTCTGTTCCACCACACTCGCAAACTTCGATACAACAGCCACTCCTCTGTGACGAAACGGCGCGCAGTTTGCACTCACCTGTTCATAATATCTTCTTGCTTCTCTTTGGCTTCCTCATACTTGTCAGCCAAGCGCTCAGCCATTTCCCGCAAACTTTTCCTTTATGAAAGTGAGAAATGTTTATTTACTTTAGATTTACATGCAAGACGGTCTGTATGTGGAAACGGGACAAGGAGCCTGAAAAAGCAGGCTGGAGCAGGGAGTGAACCTACGTGCTTCATTATAGCTGGAAATGGATTCACTTCTCACTTGTTTCACACAGGACCCTGCATAAAGTACTTTTTGTACAAAGGTCCGTCATTCCTGAGGTTTGACTTGATGAAAGCAGATAGATTATACTCACCTTTCCTCTCGACAGTAATTAAGATCTTCCAGTTGTTTCTTCTTCTGTCCCCACAGCAGCTTCACTCTTAAAGTAAACGCATACATAAAATCAAACCCCCCCCAACAGCAATCCAGTTGAATCAGGATTTAGGCCACACAGAAGATAACGACAGACGTGATTAATGCTCCTGGGAGTATGAAGAACTACAGACACTGAAAAATGGCCAGTGATGAGAACAAACTCTGCCACTTTGTCCTAACTTTAGAATATAAATAACTATGATTTGAAGAAGCAAGAGACATATTTAATGCAATTTTCCTTTTAGCAGCTTTGTCAGGATTATTGCTGAGGTCAAAGGATTTCCTGCCACCCGCAGGCACAGGCAGACTGACAACAGCAAGAGAGAACTATTTTTTGTGTGTGTGTGTGTGGACTTTTTTTTCCCCCCTGTGAGCCACTCCAGAGATCAAGTATTACACTCGCCCCTGCTTTCCCTGGTAACTCAGTTTTCAGTTCTGCTACTCTAGTCTTACGTGAGGACATTTTACTCATTTACAAGGGTTAGTCCCGCAGAGGACTGCTTGGTACTTAGGGATGTTGCTTCAGAGACACTGTACAGCAGTTATTTATGAGGGTTTTTTTCTTACCTTTGCTGAATTTCCTCTTTTGCCAGATCTTGTTTCAGTATATATTCCTCTCTGAACACTTGTGTGGCTCTGCTAAGAAGCTGAAGGCATTCTTCAGGGGGAGGAGCAGCATCTTTATCAGCAGACCTTCAGAATGTATGGGACAGGTTTTTGCAGTCGTACTCTAACATGTTCCTTTGAAAGGCTGAACCACTTACAGTATTTATGGTAAGGGCTCTGGGGGCCTCAGTTATGGAAGTGAGGGACTATAATTAAATCCCTTTGCTACAAATCATTCTTCTTACATGAGGAAATCCCAAGGTATCTTAAGATACTCAAAACCCAATGGGACAAGCGATGAGCAACCTAATCAGCTGCAGTCAGCCCTGCTTTGAGCAGGGGACTGGAGCCAGATGACCCCCCTCCCAACCTACGTCGTTACTTGATCTGATGCCATCCCTGTACGGACAGAGAGGCACAAGTGGGCTGCAGGAGCTGCGCCCCCATTATTGCTACCTTCAAGCTAATGTGCTGTTCAGTCAGGAGCTGATGAACGCACACAGTATTGCTGAGAGTCTTCCCTCTTCAGGTCCCATGGGAAAACGTATTTACTTACTTCAGAAGCAAGGGATTGGCAGAACTGCGCTGCAGGATGCTTCGGATGTGTTTCTCGAATGAATGCTGTGACTCAGCCAGGATGCGCAGAGGGGAAACGGCAACATCTTTGTCTTCCCTGGTACACAGCAGGGGCGGGGATGCAGGATGGACTGTACTTCTACCAAAGAACATCAAATTGGAGAACACAGTTTAAACCAGGAAAATTTAAACTACACCAGAGTTCAAATGGCAGTTAAAACAAAGTGTGGAATTAATGTATTACAGCAGTAAGTCAGAAGTGTTCCAAGAAAAAATACTTCAATTATGTGGTAAAGCCAGCTCTAGACAAGGTTGGTGGAGCTCACATCCCCACATCTTTCTGTTTGGCCACAGCTGAAACTAGCGAGAATCATAAATATCCTTTCACTTAAGGAGAAGAAGGTTCGGTAACAAGGCAAGCAAGCACTCAAATGGCAGAATGACCTGCTTTTCAAAGCAGCCTAAAGCAATTTAGGAATCCACTCCCTCCCCCCCCCCCCCCCTTTCATGCAAACATAACCTTGGTGCCCATTAAGCATCTCTGTACTACTGTCTGCAAACAAATTTCTGATTTGCAGATTCCCTCATTATAAAAATGAAGAACAAAAAACAACAATAATGTCAAGAACCTTTTGATGCAACTCTTGTCCTAATACTCATTAAAAGTGATATAGATTAATTACATCCCCTACAAACACCTTATCAGTAGTAAGTAACTACTATAATAACGCTTAAGTGCTCAGCCAGAAGGCAAACTTCATCGCATGTCACAAGAGGTGCAGAAGTCTGGGGTGAAAGCATCAAAAGAAGAATAATAATAAATAATATCCTGAGATCCTTTTCATGCAAGTCACGGATTTCAAACCAATTAAGAGCCACGTACAAGAGAGGCCTTGTAATACACTCATAGGTGTTTGTGATGCAGATCATTGTGGGCCCCAGGATGTCAGAAACGATCCAAAATCCTCTAATCGGAGCAGGTTGCCTGAAGGGAAGAAAACACAAGAATTACCCGATCAGAAAAGTTCTTTGTTCCTGAAGTTGTTGTGCAAGTTCACTCTTTGGGAAAAGCTCTGGCTACAGCAATCGGCCTAAGCCGGACACCCTTCACTAAGCCAAGAACCACTCCCTGGAATGAGTCCTGCAAAATAATTCTTCTCACACCACACAGTCTGACTGGCAGTCAGATGTACGAGGACAAACGCATCCATCCTGGGAGAGGGAGCATTTGTATAACTTAACTGTGGAACAGGAGCAAAACTCTGCTGCGACCCAGGAAACGTTACCCGCTTCTAGGGCAAGGCACAGACTTCCTCAGGAGACAACACGGGTCCTCTGCGGACCAAAAAGGTGGTCCAAATGCCCTCTCCCCAGGTAACTACGAACACCATCGGAGAGTCACCATCCGTGCTAGCTTGGATGACTAACACCTATTAATTAACTTTTTCTTTTTGTATTTTCATTATGTTTAATACATAGCATTCGATAGAAATTATTAGGCCTTATAAAAGTGAGAAAATAAAGCAGACAGATAAATATTACA